TACATAAATGCATTCAGTTATATATCTTTATACACAATTGTAGTTTTATATATATGAATGCTTACATTTATAAAAAACTAAATACATACATACAGATAGACAGAAGAAAAGATTGTAAAGTGACTGGGACATGGAAAATGATCAATATTTAAACTAATATAGACATGCCAATCACTGTGCTAAGCAGTTTCCAGCACAATCTCATTTAATACTTACAATAACCCAGTAAGGTAGGAATTAGCATCACCATATCAGAAAAGAAAACTGAGACCTAAGAGAACAAGTAATGTGGATGAGATCACCAAGATACTAAATGGTACAGCTCACAACTCAGTTCTTTATCACAGTGTGATCCTATTTCCCAGTACTTTTAGAAATTATTAAAATTCGTGTTACTACTCTAGCTCTATGCCTGTGAAAGCATTTTAAAAATTTAATGTGACAGCATGGCTAAATCCATTAGAAAGATAATCAAGAGGATGCCAATATCCTGCATAAGAGCATCTGCATTGGAGCCAGCAGACAGGATTTGTACCCTGGCCCAACCCAGACAAGTTACTTAACCCTCTATGCCTGCATTACCTAATCTTCAAAATGCAAACAATAATAAAACAATCCTCTGAGTAAATACTCAAAGGTTGGGGTGATTAAACAAATTCACATATGTAGTATTTAGAATTGTGCCTGGCTACAGGGCAAATGCTGTAAAAGTGTGAGCTATTCATATTTTTTCTTTCATCATTTAATTAATTTCACTATCTCCATTTTACTGGAAGCACGATTTGGTAAGTTTTCTTCAAATTTTCTCTCATTTTTCAAGTCATACCTTATTTTGCACCCAAAACATCTATTTTTATAAAGGACATCTGTTAATGCTTTTGTGATTGTTTTTAGCCTAGCATCTTTTCCCTGCAGGAACTTCCTTCCTCCACCTGGAGGCTGTCATCATCATCCATATGGCCAATCAGAGCCAGGCTCCTGGGGCTGCTGAATGATTGTTCCCTGGGTATTAAGGGAGTTAACCACAGCCAATCAGTGCCCCTTCCAGAGACCCTACAGCTATGGAGAGATGATCCTTCTTCCACTCTGATTCATGGACAATAAGCAGCACATAAGCTTGGAGCTGCTAGGGTATCATTGCTTTAAGAAGTCATCTTAAAGTAAAGCAGAGGTGAGAGATGGCGAAACAATAACACTTGAGCTTTAAGATCTAGCTGAATCAGAGGTTTACCTTTTGGACTTCCCAGTTGCATGAGCCAATAAAGTATCTTATTTGCCTAAGTTAGAGACAGGTTTCTGTTATGTAAACACAAGAGTCCTGTTAATTCATTGATAAAGAATTAGCAGGCATATATCCAGAATGCCAGTACTCAGCTTATTAAATCATCTTAGCAGGAATAATTAATCAGCAAAATATTCTGTAGCTTCCTAAATATCAAGCCATAAGAAATAAGCACCCTTTTGGTATACAACAATGTATAGTGTAAAGAATGGAGACAAATTATAAATGATTTCCAGTCTAAGCCCTTGATTCCAAGGTCATGAAACCTCTCTGGGTTCTCTCTAATGCAGATACTAAAGCAAATCACTTATCAGAGGATTGCTGTGAGGATCAAGCAGTGCAAGGACTACTCAAGCACCCCAATATATAGGTATCATATTGTATCAAGTCAACATCTACAATAACAGAAAAAATTCATAATAAAGAAATTTGTAATTCTGACACATCTATGCAAGTTATTAAGATCTTACCTTACAACATTTTCTTTTGCTTTTTCATACCAGGAAAAAAAAATACATTACAACTAGTAATATGTCCAAAGAACACTAAGGAATCCTGCACATCGTTTCTAAAATGATACAATCAATTTTTGGTTACCAGCCAGGACAAGTGCTTAGTGTTCTGCTGTCTTCCTTCTGATGCAAATTCTTGGCTCACCCCACGCCTGCCTTTATAGATGCCTTTCATAACCTTTATCTCATTCAGTCTTTGTTAAAACTGCATTATGTAGGCAGGAATCATTTCCCATTTTACAGATGAGGAACTGAAGCCCAAAGAAGGTAAGTGATGACTACTCAGAATGGCAGACAGGACTCTCTATCTCAAACTACTCGACTGTTGACATTTTATCTTTGGCAAAATCATGGAGGTGCTTGGGTTTTTATTTCCCCGGATCTGGAATCTTAGTGTTTCTGGTGTGGTTTAAAGTATCCTGAGACTAAAAATTAATCTAATGTCAGTTGTGACCACCCTGTGCCAGATACTATTAATAGTTTTGCTGGTGTGTTTGTCAGGTCCTACATGCTTAAAATTAAAATTATTTGGTCTCAACTCCATTATAACTTCTAATGATGGAATTATTTGTTCTCAATACGATAATGGGATAGAACCTGGGCCAATAACTACTTTTGTGACACCTTAACTGATATTATGATGTAATTTAACTAACTTTTCTCTATATTCAAGCATGAGTTCTATGCATACATCAGCAGCTAGATAACTTTTTTTGCCATCCAGAGCTTTAGTTCGCAAACAGTATAATGCCTGTGCCTCAAAGGCAAGAGTGAGCCATAAGGAGGTACTGAGTCATTTGGAAAAGTGAGGGTTCTATCTCCCATATGAGCTGGTCTCCATATCACTTCATCTGAGTGGTAGGAAATTTTTAGTGCTTAGACATTTCCATAGCCAAGTAAAATGTGTACTTCCTAGTCAAATATAAATGCCTTTTGAATTATCCTGTATAATTCCCTTTGCTAAAATGCTATGTCTCTTTCTTTCTATTCTTCACTGACTGGCCTAAATTCTATCTCCTCTGAAAGTGGAGTCCTAACTGGTAAAGTCCACAGTGATTCTCCTTCCCCTGAACTTGGAGGCTCTGATTTTCCACCTAGGTAACAATTCAAGGAAATAAATTATTATTTTATCCAACATCACATAACTCGTCTCCCCAACTAACATTCAAGTTCTGTGAAGCACATCTGATGTTCTGTCCTCTACTTTCGTATTACCTACTGCATACGTGTATTGTGGTTTCCCAACAAGTGTTTCCTGAGCCTTTGATATCTAGTCCTCTGGTGTCTATTACTAGTGATAGTTAAAAGTTCATAATTTGTAACTGTTCATTTCTGGCCTGATAGGTTTTGTCTTAATAGGCTATAGCTATATAGCAAGTCAAATTTTCACAAAAGCAGAGAGAGGGGCATCATTTGTTCCACTACTCCAAGAAAAAGGGTTTAAAAACGTGAAGGTTATTTCCCCAACGCCCAGTTCCTGTAGAACAGGAAAGTGTCTGATTGGCTTCAGTGGTATTCCAGATTTGCGTTCTGATAACAGGATCAACTTATTTTGCTGGATCTCTGAATGAGCAGTATCAGGCATAATGGTGAGCTCTATTTAGATGTAATGTTTCCTAACAAGGGTCACAAGGTTATTTGATAATTCTGTCTCCTGAGAAAGAAACATAATTACACTTTACTTTTCATCTTTGTTGAATTGTGAAAAATGTTTAATTATTCCTTTGGCAAACATGGTAGTTCTTTTGTAGGCCGCAGTTTCCTTTAAGATATATCCATCTACCTATGATTTACAACTAATTAGAGGATGTTAAAGGTTGTTGCTAATGGTAACTTAAAGCTCTGATAATGGATAGCTCTTGGCATTTAATACCAATAGCAGTCTAAGAACTTAATTTCTCCTAGGCAGTTTATACATTCTTTTCTCATTTCTATACCAACATATGCAGTAACAGACGTCACATAAGAGATGTTTACAAATGTACTAGCCTTTTTACATGGTGAACGTCCGAACAAATAGAATGAACCTAGAATGAGATATTGCCGGTAAACTAGAAAAGAAGTAGGGCTACTAGTGAAAGGAAGTATGTTCAGACTACCTGGGTATGAATTGTGCCCCTGCTACTTACTAGCTTTGTATTTTGACCAGTGGTGTCACTTCTCTCTCTCTCTTTTATTTTTTCTTTTTGAGACAGAGTCTTACTCTGTTGCCCAGGCTGGAGTGCAGTGGTACAATCTCGGCTCATTGCAATCTCCGCCTCCCGGGTTCAAGTGATTCTCCTGCCTCAGCCTCCTGAGTAGCTGGGACTACAGGTGTGTGCCACCATGCCCAGCTAATTTTTGTATTTTTAGTAGAGACAGGGTTTCACCATATTGGCCAGGCTGGTCTCGAACCTCTGACCTCATGATCCACACTTGAAATATAGCCACCATAGTAACACCTATCTTATGGAATTTTTATGAGAATTAAATACACTCCAACGTATGTTAACGGAGGAACTCGTTTCCGAAGTACTGAATGAGTCACTTTTTCTGCCCTGTCAGCCCCTGCAATTTCTTTTAAACAATCTTTTTTTCTTTAAGAGGAAGGAAGTGATTATTAAGAATATAACTCTAAACAATGCAACATTGCCAAGGTAATCTATTCTAAAGAAATCATCAGAGATATATATAGGAATGATACATCAGGATGTTCTAATACTAAACATAAAGAAATAACCTAAAAATTCCAGGGGAATGGCCAGGTAAAATATTACACATATTTTAATGCCACAGAGAGAAAATCAGTAGACAAAGAACTTGGTATACTAATATATGTAATATGATCATTAAAATATCAATATCATAACATTCTTGTGTTGACAATAGTTGAAAAGTTTTTAACACAGAACTAGGCACATATAAGTAAGCCTTTACTAATGATTCATTATAACCATTATATTAAGGTATAAATATTTATAAGTTCTAATGAAATGAGCCAAAATACATTCTCTCTGGTTGTTCACTTACTTCTTAATATATATAACCCAATTTCTGTTATATGTACGTGTCCCACCCAAATTAATTCGTGTCTTTGTGTTTCCATTCTGGTGGGCACTTTACAATGAGCATTTATCAAGTTAACAATTTACAATTAAATTAATTTAAATTAATAACATAAATACATAAGGATTAGATCATTATCATTTTTGAATGGAAGATATTACCTTCATGAGAGATTTCCTTCCAGGGATTTGGTGGATACATGAAAGCTGCATTCTGAATTTGATCGTGTATGTCTTCATCTTCATTAAATGGGAATGTGCCACTTAGGCTTACATAGATGATGACCCCAACAGACCACATGTCGAGAGAGCGATTGTAGCCCTTGTTCCTTAGGACCTCAGGAGCCAGGTAAGCTGGGGTACCCACCACTGACCTCCGGAAAGACTTCTCTCCAATGATCCGGGCAAAACCAAAATCACAGAGTTTCACCTGTTGATAAAAGGATTTGCAGAAATACTCTGTTCGCAATTGTGTATGTGTATGTCTTAGTTCATGTTCACCAGATACAACCATAATATTTTAAATACCTTACCTTTACATTAAATGATATGGATTTCTTAAAGTAATAGCTATTTTCTATTTTAGGTATTTGAAGACAGTGGTTTATGTAGTGATACAAAAGTATGTTTTCATTCATAAAAATATCATCTAAACAGTCTCCCTTGGCAGGGTGCAGTGGCTCATGCCTGTAATCCTAACACTTTGGGAGGCTAAGGCAGGAGGATTGCTTGAGGACAGGAGTTCAAGGTCAGTCTAGGCAACACGGAGAGACCCCCATCTCTACAAAAAATTTAAAAATTAGCCCCGCATAGTGGTGTGTGGCTATAGTCCCAGCTATTCGGGAGGCTGAGGTGGGAGGCCTGATTGAGCCTGCAAAGCAGAGGTTGCCGTGAGCTGAGACTGCACCACTGCACTCCAGCCAGGGGCAACAGAGTGCCCTGTCTGAAAAAAAAATTAAATAAAAAATAAATAAATAAATAAAATAAATAAAAATAAATGAAAAAAACACAAAAACAAAAAACAGTCTTCCTTCTCCAAAACCCGAGAGACAAATATGAAGAAGGTAGGTGTACTCAGAAGTGGGTAATATTGTATACAAGGCATGAAAGCATTATGCAAATCAGGGAAGTGATGACCTTCACTCAAGGGCTTATGATGAGTAGAAGATGAAGGATAAGTACAAAGATGTGTTATGTCATCCACAATAATCCTCAAAATTAGCTCTGCACTGGCACATATATAGGCAGGACCGGAAGGTGTTAGGGAAGCAAGGCAGGACAGTCATCTCAGTCAGGTCACTTCAGATCTATAATTCCCTGCAGAGATAGCTGGTTTCCCACTCTCTAAGTTGAGGAAAGGGAAAAAGTTTTGCCCTTGTCCTTGAGAACAACAGTGAGGTTTAATATCTTGCCCATTAGTGAGCTGGTAACATCTCTGGGACTCTCAAGTGTTGTCACTCAGGCCACTTCTAGAAAAGCCAAAAGGCATAATGAGAAGGAACTTTTGTGTATAATTAGGTTGGCTTCACCAAAAAACCACAAGGCCATAGTCCCAAAGGTATAAGAAGGTAACAAATGGATAAAAATGAATAGAAAACACTTGCAACAAATAAAGGTTTTAAGGGAAAAATGGAAGGTGACAAGATGCCACATGGAAGCCAGCGATGCTGTCAACTGGCTTTTTGCTGAGAGAGGCTTTTATACTTGCCTGAGGAAAAGGATCAGCTGATGCTAGCAACACATTTTCTGGTTTGAGGTCACAGTGAACGATATTTTTAAAATGAAGGTGCCGCAAAGCCACGAGTATCTATAAAGAAGAAAAATCACCAAAATAATTTCATTCCAGTTTATTAATTTCAAAATGTCTGCTACCAGTTAAAAGGCCAAGAAAAAAACTGACAATGAACATTCACATTTCTTTATGTTAAAGACACTGAAATGAGCTAGATTAACATAGGTTTCTAAAGAAATTTCAATGAAAAAATTATTCTATGATGGTATTCATACAGCAGCCAAGACAGATGTAGATAAAAGACCTATATCTAACAGGGACACCCATTCTTAAATATTCTCAAAGAATCAAAACTAAACCAATGTACATTTTAAATTTTCATGAAAAGTGTGAATACATGGACCTGCAAACATGTTACTAATTTGGTATACTGTAGAGTCTGATTAATATAGATATAAATCACATAATACCATAAAGCCACTACAACCTTTTCTAGTGTCGTTTAGACTGGAAGTAGGGACTAAACAACAAAGGCTAGAAAGCTGTGGTTAAACAGTGATAACACTTGATATTAAATATTGTATTTTCTCTGTCTCTAATTTATTTCTTACCTGAGTAATTAAAAACTTCGTTATGTGCTCTGGCAACCTGCCCTTTTCACTTGACAAGATCATTTCCAGCATGTCTCCATGGAGTTTTTCCATAACAACAAACACTCTTTCAGGCGTCTCAAACATACACTCCAAATTTACAACACCAGGGTGATGAAGGTTCTATTAAAGATAAATAAAGCACTTGAAGAAAATGAGTTTTTTGATACTGTTTGGCAAGCTCGTTGATTATACAAAACTGTTCAAGCTTAGAGCTATAGAGAAACCCACACTTAAGATTTTTAACACCTCTACATTCCACATGTGCTGCCTTATATTTTTGAAATTCTAATGTCTCCAAAAAATACATCTTTACTTTCCATGCATAGTGAAATTATTTCTATGTGAAAAAATCCAAGTTCTAGCACAGTGAATTGCTAATTAGGTTTTAATTAGAATACCATATTGAGAAATCTATAATTTCTTAAGATCATCCCCAATATTAAACATACTGTCCTAACTAAGCATACTAGGCTATTTCTATACAACTGGTAGAAATCTAATGTAGTAAAGATGAAATTTATACACGTAGTGCATCGGGCCATGCACTGATGAAGTACCTTAGTCAAAACCTTTTAGAAATGCTTTGCTACTGGTACTGGAGGCTGCAGTTTTTGACAGAAGCTTTTATACTAAGTGAAGATCATAAAAACAGCCAAAAAAAAAAAAAATTGAGCCTATGCTTTGTCTATGATACCATCCTACCTGCTTGGCTTTCAAGCACGAAACAAATATAGCTAATCCTTGAGAAACACAAATTTGAACTGCATTGGTCCACTTATATGTGGATATTTTTCAATAACCACAGTTGGCCTTCGGTATCTGTGGGTTCTGCATCCACAACCAAGTGAGGATTGAAAATACAGTGTTCACAGGATCCAAAAACCTGCGGATAAGGAAGACCAACTTTTCCCACAGGGAAGTTCTGCAGAGCCAAATGTGGGATGTAAGTATGCATGGATTTTGATATCTGGGGTGGGGGTTCTGGAACAAATCCCATGCCAATACCAAGGGACTACTGTATTTCCACAATAAAGTAATGATTAGTAATGGTAAGCAGCATTTTGCTTGACACATTAATTGCCACATGTGTCAAGTAAAATTACTCTTAGTATTAGATGATCCCTTGTAATAATGCTTAAATCTGAATGCTCTTCTGGGTCATCGACAAATGCCTTTGATCATTTGACCTTTATCTTTTTTCTCCGCACAACAACAAATCCTAACATCACAAAAATAATTATATATTCCACTTCTATCCCAATGAGCAAGAGAAGAAAAAATCATCGTGAACAAAAACTACCTAAACAAAAAAAGCAGGAACTAACTTAAATGTGCTAACAGCTGAAGAGAGAAAAAAATTAAATGCTTCTTTATTTTAGAAAAAAAATCTCAGTGAGTGATAAAATTGTACGTAAAATGAAATTTAAAACCTGAAATGGCTCACTGTTCAGAAACCTCACAGATGGATGCTGGGTGGTGAGCAGCAGAAGGGGCTGTGGGTGAGTCTACATTGTTGTAGTTGTCCTCTCGCTACCACTTGCAAGGAAAGCCTGGCATCAACTGGATATAGAACCAGGCTATGGCTAGCAGGAGATCTGATGATGGTAAGTTGTTTCTTAGAGAGTCCTTTTTCTACTTTGCGCATTTTGATCCCTGCCTCAGGCATCCGACGGGTCTCTTTGATTCTGATGCCTTGGGGTCAAATCATACAGCATAATAGAGCCATGGAATTGCAAGTTTATTATGAATGTGATCTGAGCAGATGCCTACACATCTACTTAATAGCCTTTAACCTCTAAAGGGCTAGAGTCATTGTTCTTCAAATCGTTGCACTGTTAACTGGTCAAATCTGGCAACTTCGGATAGACCTCACCTCCTGAGTTGCTCTCTCCTGGTCAGAGCTGAAGCACATGGAGAGAGCTGGGGTTCACAAAGCTCGTATTATCAACCCTCTTACTTTACTTTTCCTGACTACTTGCAAATAAGAGCAGATATCCAGATGGCTTTGAATATTATGGGAGGGCCAGTTGCTAAGGAGGAGACTAATATGACCATATACACTTGTTTGATAGGCACTATGGAACATGTGATAACATTGCTCATACTTGAACTTGTGCCCCAGGCTGTCTCATTTCCTTTTCTTTATATGCCTTTCCCTGTTAGAGAAGCCACACTAACTGCACAGACCACTGGCCTCTGAATTGTCAAAGGTCTCAGTTGTCCTCTTTTAATCAATAATCATAGCATGAGCTTTAAGGATTACATGAGTTCTGCTAGAGTTCTGATTCTCCTAGGACAAGTCCACTATGAGATGTACAAAGTACACGTTCCTCTTTGAGCATCTTCTTCATTGATTCTTTTATTTTTCTATTTAATATAACTGTAAACACTTAAGCAGTGTTCTGGGGAGTCTGGCTTCCTTAAATGGCTGAGCTTTGCCATATGGGTGGGAAGCAGAAGCAATGAATAGGAAAGGAGCAGAGCAACAGAAGTAGACAGAAAGGATAGGTGTCCTCTGTGTGTGTGCAGAGGAAAAACTAGTAAGATGAACAAGAGATAAAGGTTAAGGGAGAGTGACCTCGGGGGCCCAGAGAGGGCAGGGAGCACAGGAGAGGTGTGGAGCTGCACAGCCTGCTGCTCCTGCTGATCTTAGGTTCTGAAAGCTGGAGAAGAGGGGAGAGTCATAATGACTGGGGAGCCCTCCTAATTAAATTACTGGAATGATGTGATTCCTTATGTTCCTCTACCTGTATTCCTCTTTTTTTCTTTTTTTTAAATGGAGTTTCACTCTTACTGCCCAGGTTGGAGTGCAATGGCAAATCTCGGCTCACCACAACTTCTGCCTGCCAGGTTCAAGCGACTTTCCTGCCTCAGCCTCCCGGGTAGCTGGGATTATAGGCATGTGCCACCGCGTCTGGCTAATTTTATATTTTTCGTAGAGATGGGGTTTCTCTATGTTGCTCAGGATGGTGTCTGACTCCTGACTTGAGGTGATCCACCCACCTTGGCCTCCCAAAGTGCTGGGATTACAGGCATGAGCCACTGCACCTGGCCAGTACATGAGTTCTTAGAGACTAAAGTCCTTCACTCAATTTATTCCTTTTTCCTACCCTACGACATGACCGGAGGTGCCCCTGTACAGAGGGTAGAACTTTAATACCTGTTGATTTCCAGAATTGGGGTATTTACAGAATGTTCTAAGTCAAAAGTAAGGGACAGATTAATGACAGTGTTTATTCATTGTCAACTATTTTGTGCTATGTTCACTGTCAGCTCTGAAGGGCTCTACAAATGTTCTCTAATAGCATCTTGATGTAAAGGATAAGGGAACATTTTGTTATTTCCCAATAATGGGCTTTGAATGTGGTTAGATATATAGATTTTTTAAAATACATATTCAGTGAAACCTCAGACTCAAGGCCAAGTATACACAACTGATAAAAAGAAGTCTTAGAAAACTTTAAATTCATTTCACTTGGTCCTTGCTCTTTTATGAGCATATTTATACTTTACAGTTTTCCCAAAGTACATATTGAATGACAGCTGAAAAATCTTCCCAGTAGCAAAGTGATTTTGCTTTATCTGAAGAGTTGATATACAACAAGTTTATTTTAACATTTATTGTATATGGTTGAGACAAGGTCATCATAGATACTTGCTTATGAACTCTATTTTTTCTTGCATTGAAACAAATGACCAAACTTGCTTTTATATTTGATAGTAACAAAAGAAAATAAAACAGAATACATGGATCATGACTTATTTAGTCAAACTTCTTATACTGCACTGATAAGAATATGTCATTAGCCTACAGAATACATTTGAAGACTGGAAATAAGAAAAAAGTTTTAGCTATTATTTCTCTATTTTCATGCGTCATTATTTTTTTAATACCTTAAGTACAACTTTAAGATAAGTTCAAACAAGGTGGTCCATGTGACTTTTCATGAACAGTTTTAAAATTTTCATATAAATTATGAAATAGCCTTTAAACCATTTCCTCCTAATGTCCAAAGTAACAGAATTATTAATAATTTTAAAATGGCAAGAAGACTGCAACATCAACTATGGCATTGTAGTGTGCAAAGAGATTTTTGCCCAACTTCTCAGGCTTTCCACAGAAATGCAGATAAATTTCATGGCAGAGCAAGCTACTACAGGACTCTCTGGCCATCTGTTTGTTGCATTTAAGTAATTTAATTTTCAGGAAATGAAACATTTGGCCAAGTACAGGAAAAAATAGTGTCCATTCACACATAACAGATTGATGACATATCCACGGGGTGAATATAAGTTGTTTCGAAGCCTGGGAGGAAATATCATTTGTAGATAAAGACAAAAACTCTCCTGACCCAAGTTGCCTAGAAAATGTGTATATAATCAATGGAAATTAGTCACTGGAAGCAAAGACTTTTATAAAAGTAATATCTCAAGAAAATAAAGAATTGACTAATTCTAATTTTTTTGTGTATATCTAATTCTCATTTATATTTTTTGATTTGTGTTAAAGGATATTCTTTAATATTGATATCTAAATACTAATATTTTTTAAGTCTAACATTGTTGCTTTTATTGTAAATCTAGAGTTTATAATTTATTCCATATATGTAGTTTCCACCTTCTATCTTTAGGATTATTCTACTCAAACATATGAGAGGTAGGATAGAGGAGAATTAGATTCAATCTATCTTTTCAACAGGTCTTTAGGAGCAGTGCAGTCTTAATATGGGGACTTCTGACTAATTTTCTGTCAAAGAAAAAACTGACTTAGTCCATAATGAGATAGAAAAACTAAATAAAAATGTGATGAGCCTAGGATCTAAACTCTAAATGGCATGCAAATCAGAAGGAAGAATATTCCATTACACAATGGAATGGGTGGGGGCATGAGGTACAGTACTGAAGCAGTGGCCTTGTTGACTCTCATTCCTGCCAGTTTGCCAGGGTCAAGAGAAGAGCATACCTTCTTATCCATTTTCTAATTACAGTCTCTTATAATTTATGCTTCATGTCATGGTCTTAGAAATCACAATACTTTAATACCTTATTAAAGGGAAATAGACTATACTTACCTGATAGAGACTAAAAAGTCATCTTGCAGAGAACAGACAATTATAAAA